TGCTTCTTCGACCAGTTTGTCGGTAATAGTAGTAGTAGTAGTAGTAAAAGTCTGTAATAGCCGGTTGGAATTACTTCCAGTAACGCATCAACTCTCTGAACCATAAAGAAAAACTGATTTGACATTGATTCAAATCCTGTTCCTTGGACTGACTGCAGGAGGTTTCCAAACTGACTTCAGAGTCATATGAAAAAGAGAAGACGTTCAGAGAAGAGACTCTTTTCGGCGAATTCATTCACATGGCTGTACAATCGCATTTACGTATAATTATTATTTTGTGTGTGTGTGTGTGTGTACATGAGGTTTGTCAAGTTTAGATAATTAATTAGGTAATACAAGATGATCTAATATAGAAACGAAGTTAATCAGACAGCAACTAAAGTAAGATTGAGTTAGTAAGCTAGGTGACGTAATATAATTGGCTAAAATGTTACAACTTAGATCAGGGTAGCAACAGAGGTAATTACAGGTAGAGACTAAGTAGAAGTGAAATTGAGTAAATAAGTTGGATGACGTAACATAAATGACCAGAAATTGAGCGTTGTTCAAGTCAGTAACAGTGGTAGTGAGGTGTAGAAATCAAATCGGGTAGGGGTAGAGAACAAGAAAGTTGAAAATGTAAAATATCACAATTGAGAAGGCAAAATAATTCTAATGAAGAGACAGAAAAAAAGATTAGGTAGAATTTACTTTTCGGGTAATAAGATAGATTACGTCCATTGCAAGTGTAGTGATTGAACGAACTTCTTCTGTATGCAGAGTTCAGGACTTAGCAAGTGAATCGCCATTGCTTCTGCAGTTTGAAGAAGTCTGATTCGTACACCTTTAGGAAGACAACTTCTTACTCTGCAGACGACTTTGAAGTTTGTTTGGGGTGAAGCTTGGTGTCCGGATTCTATCAGATGTTCTAAGATGGAACTGCGGGGGCATAGATTTTCTCCTTTGTAAAACCATGTTGGTAAGTGTTCGGCGATACGTTTGGAAAGCTAGCGCTGGGTACGGCCGACGTACCTGGCTCCACACGAGCAGGTGAATTGATAAATACACATTGATGAGACCAGTCAGAGTGATGAAGGTTTGTTCAGTTTTCTCAGTCTTGACTTTAACATCCTTTATCCGTGCTGTCTGTCGCCTGTAATTGAAACTCTTCCGCCTAGATAAGTCAAGGAAGTGATTTCTTTCAAAGTTCTTCCGTTTATAGGGATTGATGCCTGTCATTGTTGTTGTTGTTGTTGTTTTCTATTGGGTATGTCCATCACCTTTATCTCTTCTCTATGTTCACGTTCAGTCTCATCTACGCTGCTTCCTCCCCTTAGATCTTCATGCGTCTCATTTAACTTTTTTTGCCTTTGTAATCCTGTGTCTCATTTCATGGATTGCACGTGAAATAAAACAATAGCCTCTAGATTACTGAAACGCGTCAAACTTCTAGATCACTTGTAAAACTCAATAAAGTTTCAAAATTTAGTCAGTAATCTGTTCGGCTGATTAATTTCAGGTTATTAGTTCCAATTATCCTGCCACACTTACTGCTGAATTATTGAGAACATTTCTCATTGCCGTGGGTGTTCCTTACTCTGAAATCAGAGTAGAAATCCACACACACACACATACACACATACTTAGCACAAACGAAAAGATTAGTTTCTACGAGTTTGACAACGGATTGATATCAGTTAGAGAATCATTGAAAACCACCAGGGAGTATTGTACAGCTGATTCATCCTAATTTCAGATTCATCGGCAGTACGCACCCACTGCCAGAATTCGAACCGGGGACCTTCCGGTTACAAGGCAAACAGGCTTGTGTACCATTCAGCCACTGGAACACAATTCAATAGCCCATGGACGATGATTCACAAACTAGGATGAAACAGTTGTCCAGTACTCCCTGTAGCTGGTTTTCAATGCTTCTTTAACTGATATCAATCGGTTAACAACTCCTAACAACAAAACTAATCCTTACAAACCAACTATAAAAAATTATCCTGCTGCTCACTAGTGACTTGCTACAGGATAGCATTTCCTGGAGTTCTAGTGAGAAGTCGTGACCAGTGAGGTCCATCCAGGTGTCACGTGCGAGGATAGATGTCCCACTGACGACATTGGTCGGGGTCGCGCTGAATCACGAATCGGTAGAAGTTGGAATTCATGAGCTGGCCATTGAATAGCGTCCCAGTGGCTGAATGGTATGCGAAATCGCCTTGTAACCGGAAGGTCGTGAGTTCGAAGCCTGTTGGTGGATGCGTACTGTCGACGATTGACAAACTAGGATGAAACAGCTGTCCAGTACTCCCTGTGGCTGGTTTTCAATGCTTCTTTAACTGATTTCAGTCCATGATCAAACTCGTAAAAACAAGTCTAATCTTTACAAAACATCTCTTGAAAACAAGATAAGTATTTTCAGTAACAATGCCAAGTCGGTGCTTCTAAACAGTAGTTCAGATTCTCAGTGCACATGTCACCAGAACCATTTTATATGGCCTGTAGGTGACTTCCGCTGACATCTATCTGCGCTCTGTGGCGAATATCAAATGATCAATAAGAAATAATAAGCAACAAAGAACTCTGGCGGGGGACCAAACCAACCGACAAATTTCTGCTCAATAAATATACAGAACAAAGTAGTTAAAGCGAATAATTGTGGTTTCAGTTAATTCTTCTTCAGACTTTACAATTATAAATCCTCTAAAGTTTGGCTTGTAAGGGTTAGTCTTGTTATTACGAGTTGATCACGGATTGATATCAGTTAAAGAAGCATTGAAAACCAGCCACAGGGAGTACTGGACAGCTGTTTCATCCTAGTTTGTCAATCGTCGACAGTACGCATCCACCAACAGGCTTCGAACTCACGACCTTCAGGTTACAAGGCGATTTCGCATACCATTCAGCCACTGGGACGCCATTCAGTGGCCAGCTCATGAATTCCAACTTCTACCGATTCGTGATTCAGCGCGACCCCGACCAATGTCGTCAGTGGGACATCTATCCTCGCACGTCACACCTGGATGGACCTCACTGGTCACGACTTCTCACTAGAACTCCAGGAAATGCTATCCTGTAGCAGGTCACTAGTGAGCAGCAGGATAATTCTTTATAGTTGGTTTGTAAGGATTAGTTTTGTTGTTAGGAGTTGATCACCGATTGAAATCAGTTAGATAACCATTGAAAGCCAGGAAGTAGTGGGTACGTACTGCCGATGATTCCCAAACTTGGATGAAACAGCTGTCCGGTGCTCCCTGGTTTTCAATGGTTCTCTAACTGATATCAATGCGTGATGAACTCGTAAAAATTATAAAATCCATTTTATTTTATTTTCTTCTTCTATTCCTTTGTTTCGTTGACAAAGGTTCCTTTTCAACTTTTATGATTTCATGAACTTTCTTATGATTTTATTACCTTAGGTTTAAGTAATGCTTTACTAACTTGCTATCGTATTTACAAAATCCTGTTCATTCCACTTCATTATATTCATTATTATTATTTGACAATCATTCACCAATAGTGCTTGTAATTTTACCCTATATCATCGTTATTATTTTACTGTCATTATTTTCAACGTTGAACTTATGTGTAGACCGCCGTATTCGTTGGTTTATTTTCATATTGTCTCACACAGCCTGATTGCAATCACTCTCGAAACCTGTATTTTTCTGTTGACTATATTTATATATATATACACACACATCATTAAATTAAATTATTTCATCTCATTTTATCTCATGTTCTCATTGACCATGCATATTAAAAAAACTAACTGGCTAATGCTCCATCTCATCTTATACTTGTTCCACAATACACTTTCTGATATGATTCTAATTTGCCTTCACTGGCTGGCTATTGTATGCTTAAATTAATGGATTTATAATTGTAGAGCCTGAAGAAGAAGAATTTATTGAAACCACAACTGTTCGCTCTAACTATTTTGTTCTGAATAAATTATGGGAATATTCAATTTACTGAAATATACAGAAGAAAGGGAATTCCAGTGACATCTGAATCCAGGTAGATCCTGAAGTGGAACAAGGATGGGAGACGACAGGTTGGGCGTGGATCTGACAATAAAATTGAAGGGATCATTTGATGGGGAAATAAACGCATATGGAGAGTCAAAGTGGCAGAGAACCATATGGTAACATACTGATGTACCTTTGAAAGCAAAGATTACCCTCGGAAGTCGAGGAATGAGTGAGTAGCAAAGGAACTCTGGGATCTAACTAACTAAAAACCAATCGCCTAATAAATATGCACACACACACACGCACTGAGTTAGGCATATGTTCAAATATGACATACAGGAGATCGTGGAAGAAAGAAATGAAAATGTATGGATAGTCTTGGCGTCAACTAAAAAGAACTTCAGAGAACAAAATAGAACAGAGATGTTATTTAGTTCAGTGTGCACTTTCCCATAGATTGACTGGACGGAAGTGTTTGACCTCAGATTGACATGTTGGCTCCTTGTGCAGATGCTTCGACAATGTCTGATTATGTAATTTGAAGTATATTGGTAGGTAAGAACCCGCAATGGAATCCAGAATGCTCATTTCACACTATTTGCAATGTACCTGAATTCCTCAGGACGAAATGCACATCCCGCATTTCACCGCTGGTCCCCACCTACGAATTTACTTCAAGTAACATAATCAGACATCGTGAAAGCATCTGCACAAAAAGCCCTCATGTCAACCTTAGGCCAAGCAATTCGGTTCAGTCAATCAACCGGAATTAAATATTTACTAATACTCAAGTGGTCTAATGGATAACGCTTTAGTGTTTGGAACTATAAGTATTCGATTCGAGGCTCAGTGGGATCACCATCACTCACTGACACACTCGGGAATGCAGGTACATCCCCTAGCTGACGAGTCCCAAATGGGACGAAATGCACATCTTGGATTCTACTGTTAATCACCATTCACCAGTTTACTTCAAAATAGAAATGTCTTGTTGAAGCCCTATATTTCATTCGAAACCCAAGGGAATTGTAATAATAATCGTAACATGAATAGCATTTTTATTGAATAACCATCGCAAGTTTTATATTTTCCACAAAACATTTTTTAAATGAAGGAAATCAACGCTTTTCTTTATACCTCCAATTGTTAATATTATAAAAGTATGAACATCAGAAACGTTAAAAAAAGAAGGTTATTCAGAATAACTCATAGTGTTAATATATATATAAATATAAATGCAAGACTAGAAATTTAACAGTCCAACAAATCCATATAAAAAAAATAACAAAGTAAGCCATCTCATTCATTTGTTTAGTTTTTTTGTTTAAACTAATAAATTCGAATTCTTTTTTTCCTCCAAACATTATTGAAACATTGAATAGTTGAAATTAATGGCGGTAAATTAGAAGACAGAAAATTTAAAGAGATATAAGCTGATCAAAACAGAAGTAAGTATTTGAATAGGAAAAAAAAATAATCTTAGAATATCTTGAATGTAGAAAATGAATGAATAAACAATCTTACATATTATTCCGATATGTCAATTTTGTCAATCTTATTTACTATGTCTAATTGCATTACATAAACAAACTGTAAACATAAAGCATACAATTTGTAATCCTGCAAATGCAAATGAAAAGATTACAATTAGAATCATATACTTCCTGAACAGTTCACCAAGTGCAGAAACACAACCCTGAAAAAAATTGTGTATAAATAAAAACAAAAATCTTAGTACAAAATCAACTGAAATTTTAAAATGGGTTAGCTTTTCATGATGATAAACTAACATCATTTAAAAAGGACATTAGAAACTAGGGAGCAGTGAACATGTGTTTCGTCCTATTTGTGGACTCTTCATCAGTGCATCCCCACAATACCATTAGGGATAGAACCCAGGACCTTCAGGTTAGGAGGCCAAGCTTGTTAACCATTCAGCGATTTGAGATGAAATTTATTGATCAGCGAATTCTAACTTTTAAGTAATTGGTTCTCTTGATGAATTTCGACAGAACAACAAGAAGACGTAGTTTATGTCAAATGTGTAATGTATTTGTGCAACACATTTCGGACATTCTGACTACAGACACACACGTACTTGTCATACATATTTATATAGAAGGCAACAGAACATGAATTTCAATTGTTGGTTTGCAGGGATTTGATTAGTTTCAGGATTTCATCATGAACTGATATAGGTTAGAGAACCATTGGAACACCACCAAGGAGTACTGGACAGCTGTCTCGTCAACCCTAGTTTGGGACTCTTCATCAGAATGCACCCACTGAGGTTAGAAACTAGGACCATGTGGTTACAAGACCGACGAGCTCATAGACCATTAAGCCACTATGACCGGATCCAATCGCCAGTCCATCGATTCAAACTTCTTCCAATTCATGATATAGCGCGACCACTAACGAATGTCATCGGCGAGTATTTGTCCTCACATCTGACCTGCTTCATAGTCTACGAGCTGTATGATGTACTCCTCTATAGATGATGTTGGCCGTCTATCTCCAGGATTAATTGTATCCACTGATTTTATTCGTTGTTGCAACCACTTTTAGGATGTGTTTCGTGGCCCTAATCTGCAGAGACTGCTGGGTCCTCCTTCTGTAATTGTGACCACAAAGACGTGTTAATTGGTCAAGACAGTTGGATGTTACACTATCGTTCGAATTCTGTGGGGGTTTACAGGACAGTATAGATCTCGTTTTCTCTATGGAAATAAGTTTTGCTGAATAGTAAGTTCTAACAATTACCGCCTTGAGTCTGTTTCAGTGGTCAGACTCTGTTGATCGTCCTTGAACGGTAGGGATATATATATATATAAACACCCTTTTTCGAAGCTGATTGAATCGGTGGAGCCCTTCATTTGATACTTCTGTAACGCCTAATGAATTTCAGCGGATATTTGTTATCTAACAATATTTTAGTGAAGTTTTGTGTTTCTTCTTCAACGGTGTCCTCTGAACATATCTGCTGAATGCGTCTGAACAAACACTTAACTAACGCCTTCTTGTACTGTAGTGGACAGAAACTATGATAATTCAGTTACTGTCCTGTCCATTTAAGTCTCCTATGGGCAGATCATCTTATTGGCCCATCTTGTTGGAGGGTTATGAGTACATCTAAAAATGGTAAGCGATGGTAACGATATACTGTTCTGTACTGTATTTTTTCTTGTGAAGGATTTCTATGCTACGTGTTGGTTTATCACAAATGACTATCACCTCATCCATGTACATTTTATAAAAAAACTCTCTCAATAATGTCCCCAGCTAAATTCTCAATATGTGACATGTGTAAAATGTGTTGCTATGAGAAATCCCTTAGATACACTTTTTTAGATCCCTAGTTCAACAATTTTTAGTGACAAAAAAATGAAATGCAATTATCAGTTAGGTTGTAAGTGTACTGAATATTCCCAAAACATATGATCCAATCATTATTATAACTGTAATTCATTCGAAAAAATCAATTCATGGGCCGTTGGATTGGGTTCCAGTGGCTGCTTAATGGTGTACAAGCTCACTGGCCTTGTAACCAGGAGCTCCTGGTTTTCAACACCTTGTGGTGGGTGCGTACTTCTGAAGAGTCACAAACTAGAGTTGACGAAACAGCTGACTGTTCAGTACTCCCTGTGGTTTGTTTTTCAATGGTTCTCTAACTGATGTCAGCTCATGATGATGAAATCTTCTAACCAATCAAACAAAATCCCTAAAAAACCAACTCTTGAAATTCAATTCATTCTGTGAAATGATGTCAGCGTGAGTGTGAATCCAACCTTCAACATAAGTCTTGTGCATTAGCGGTTAAGTGATAGACTCTTGGTCATCCATGTGAAAGGTTCGGTATGAATTCCCCTCCCCAACACAAATAGAGGTTTGGCATGAAACTAGTGACCCGAAATCGCAAGAAAAAACAATAGCATCATCACTATGGAAATTTCAAAGCTCCGGCTTTAAACTCACTGTTCCATTTGGAACGTAAAAGGATCAAGTAGAAAGTTTCTTCCTATTTCTCATCACCAATTACCGAGGATGTAAGTTAAACTTTTAACGGGATATAATAATTAAAGATGCTCACTAGCGACTGGCCCTATTCAGACAGTTAACCTGGGTTTCTAGTGGGATGCCGTAACCAGTAGAGTGCAGCAGGTTGAAGATGAGGCAGTAACTCACCAAAGAAGACATTGCGAAGTGGTCGCGGTATGTCATGAATTGGCAGAAGGCAATTGGATTGGATGGTGTGCCAAGTGGCTACTTAATGGTCTATGAGCTCACTGGCCTTGTATCCAAAACATGTTGGGTTCTAATCCTCGTGGTGAGTGCGTACTGATGAAGAGTTTTAAAATAGGACTAAACAACTGTCCAGTACTCCCTTTTATTGGTTTTCCAATGGTACTCTAACTGATGTCAGCTCATGATGAAATCCTGCAACCAATCAAGCGAAATCCTCATCACAACCAATACTTGAGAATTGTAAATAAATGTTGAGCCATTTGCACTGATTAGTCATAATTCAGATTGTTTGAACTCTTCGGATAGGTGGTTAAGCGGGGGAATTGGCAAACACCCTAATAAGTACTTAGACTTTAATTCATCCCACCCAGAATCGATTTAATTAAATGTCTATGTAATCGAGTCAGCAGTCTAACTAACTAGTAAGCCAGAAGATTTTAATAATCAAAAATCAAACAAATAAAGGAAATATTACTAGTGAATAACACACTACCCACCAGAATTTATTCAGAAATATACGAAGAACCATAGAAAAACTAAGATTAGTAACAAAAATGACGAAAATAATATAGAATTCAAAGCCTGTGTATAACGAAGGAACGTCAGAGGCCTCACGTAGAATTCTGAATGACGCTGGAATTAGGGTGGCGTTTAAACCAACCAACCAACTCTCTCAGAGATAAACTTTGTCTGCTTAAGGACTCAACAGATCCAATTAAGAAAAGTAATATAATTTACCAAATATCATGTAATGACTGTGAGGTCAACCACATAGGTAAGTCAAACTAGTAGATTGGGGTCAACTAGATTATCGGAACATAAAAATCTGCCTAGAAGTAGAATAATTGACCATGCTAAGTTAAATAATCTAGCGAAATACTTAACCATTGAATTAATAATAATAATAATAATTTGCTTTATTCCAAAACAGTACTTGTGATACAGAATGGAATTCTCAGCATTTTTACTACAGTATTGCATCCAGTTAGTACATTATCAATAAATAGAATTCTACATAGATTATGGGTATTCTCAGTTCATTATGACAACAGCATATTAGCATGTCGGTAGCAAAGCCAAAGTTGAACAGTGTTTGAAGGTGTTAGAAAGGTAGATGCTATCATATTTACTGGCGTAAGCGAAAGAAAGAAACAAAGCAGCACACAACGGAAAAAGAGAGAGAAAAGAAAAAGAAATAGAGAAAATGTTGTACCAATAAATGATATGAGTTGGAAAGACGAGGTCCAGTTGTTCTACTGACTATTTAATGAATTATAGGTGTCACGCTTAATGCTTTCTTTATCGCACAGAACACGAGCTAAGTAGAATATGGTTGAGTTTTTGTATTTACTGATGCGAACATATAGTTTTCTATATAGGCTTCTGGTTTTGCCTGATGAGATGCAAGGGGAGAGTTGTGAATGAAGAGGGTGGTGTGAGTTAGATAAAATGGATTTGGCCCATTTTTCATATGAGTCCATGTGCCTGTCAACCAGAATATTAACAAGCTGGTTAAGTGGCACGTTGCTTACCCTGCTGACAACCTTTAACATCCTGCGTAATATGTTATAGTCTTTCTTCAGTAGCCCGGGAAAAACTAAGAGGGAACAATAGAGAATAACAGGCAGAATGCTAGAGTTAACGAATTGTAGGAGTAAGGGTTGGGTTATACCAGAATTTCTTGCACGTAATCACAAAATAGGTTGTGTGGGACAGGATGAGAGTATTAATAAGTAATATAGTTAGGTGGAGAGATAGAGAGAGGGTAATCACTGGAGCTTTGTTTATCGATTCAACACCGTACAACATGTGCAATCGGAATCACACAACGCCGTCAATAATGGAGATATGGAATGTGGCGACAAACAACAAGGGACAAGTCGGAGAAAGAGAGAAGATATCTAGAAGACAAATTGTGAAGCTGTGTGACTAAACTGATACGATTATGAGCAGTAATCATTTATGCTCGAAACCTTGTCATCCAGATGTTAATACAGCATCATCATCATTGTGTGATATTTAAAACAAACTTATCTAATATGTAGAAGAATGGCTGCCAACCATGCATATGGTCTGGGTTTCGAGTCTCGGCCGACACACATTCCTAAACTCTAACTAGTATAATAGGGAATACTAAGAAATACTAAGAAAAAAGAAGGTTTAGCAGAAGGCTAACAACTCCACTCCGTAAACAAAACACCAATATTACAGAAACTTCCTAGGGAATATATCGATTATGAATTAAAGAAACCAAAATCTAACAGTCATATCACCTCTGTCTGTCTGCCTATCCAGATAATATCAGTGACTAGCTGACACGATGTGTTGCTGGTTACTGATATCAGTAGTGTTCAAGATTTTTATTAAGTGCTTCAAAACGAGTATCATTCAGTGACTGTTGTCTTTATGTTGTTACATGTAACTGATACACTTTATGATTCCTTCCAATAT